TAAGACCTATTCAAATTTTCAGATGGGTTTTAGATCTTCAAAGGGACAAGGGTTTTAGAATATATATTTGTCTCTGTCTAATGCATTTGAAGCAATAAAGAAAATAGATATTATTTTTTATGCGTACACTAGCACCAAAATTGACAAAGTTGAAAAATCCAAAGCCTACTTTGATGATTACGAAATCTGACTTCAATGGAGGTTTTCAAGCGATTGACTAGTTAGTAATTCTGACAGATACACAATGCATTTAATGTCATTTGCAACTAATAGGTTGACAAAAATGTCAAGTTTAATATACCAGTCAAACGCTTGAAAATCTTCATCAGCATTCAAGACTTATTCAAATCTTCAAAGGGTTTTAGAATATATTTGTTTCTGTCTAATGCATTTGAAATAATAAAGAGAATAGATATTAGTTTTTATTCACTAGCGTCAAATCTGACACTCGAAATTGACAGATTTGAAAAATCCAAAGCCGACTTTGATGTTCCTGAAGCACGAAATCAATGTGGGTTTTCGAGCGATTGCGATTGACAAATAAACAATGCAGTTAGAGTCCTTTTAGTTACTTGTCAAAATAGTATTATAATAAAGTTCGAGCCAACTAGGAAAAATACGGCCGGTTTCTACTATACCCGTCCTTTGTCAACCAATTGACAAATGTCTCCTGTCAACTTTGATAGACTGCTCAAACGCTTGAAAATCTCTAATGACGTATGCAATACATTTATCTCGTTTAAGAAAATAACGTCAATTTTTTTTTTAAAGATAAAAGTCAAAATGACATTATAAAAAAATTTTATATAGAAAAGGCTTGTATTGCCAACATAGTTACTAAATTTTTGACTTGGGGAATTATTTAAAAAAAAAAACACACTTTTTAATGCATTTAAGACCTTTTTAGATTTACACAATATGATATAGAATATATTCATCTCTATCTAATGCATCTGAAACAATAAAGAGAATAGATATACAGGGTTGTCGTTATGTATGGAAACGGTCTGATATTTCAGAACCGACTTAAAAAAAAATTACAATATTTCCTACCTGGGAGTTTTTGGGAGTACCCAATTCATTGGTGGTATTTGCAATGTTGCCAAGTTTACCGTTTCTTAAATGCCATATTATGTAACTTGATTTTTTTAAATAGATGCTCCTCTTTATTTTTATTGTAATTAATTCAGTGTCCCAACATTACTAAAACCCCTAAATGCCAAAACTCCATTTTACTTGGTTTTTGAAATATGGCAACACAGATTTTTTGTTAAAATGTATGGAAACAGTCTCGTATTTCAGAAAAGACTTTAGCAAAATGTACAATATTCCCTACCTGGGGGTTTTTGGGAATGCTCGATTCAATGGTGGTATTTGCAATGTTGCCAAATTTACCGTTTATAAGATGCCGTAGTATGTAACTTGATTTTTTTTTAAAGGATGCCCCTACGGGCAGGGTCATACAGCATTTTAGAAACGGCAAACTTGGCAACATTGCAAATACCACCATTGAATCGAGCATTCCTAAAAGCCCCCAGGTAGGGAATACTGTACTGTTTCCATACATTTCAACAAAAAATCTGTGTTGCCATATTTCAAAAACCAAATAAATTGGAGTTTTGGCATTTAGGGGTTTTAGTAATGTTGGGACACTGAATTAGATACAATAAAAATAAAGAGGGGCATCTATTTGAAAAAATCAAGTTACATATGGCATTTAAGAAACGGCAAACTTGGCAACATTGCAAATACCACCAATGAATCGGGCACTCCCAAAAACCCCCAGGTAGGAAATATTGTAAATTTTTTTCAAGCCGGTTCTGAAATATGAAATATCAGACCGTTTCCATACATAACGACAACCCTGTATAACATCAATTTAATACATGCAGAGCCTACTTGTATTTTATAAAAAATCCTTTAAGCTAAATGTCACTGACACCTAATGTGACATTCAAAATTGACAGATTCGAGGATTCCAAAGTTCACTTTGATGGACACGAAATATGGAATTCAAGCGATTGACCAGTTGGTAATTTTGCCAGATGAACAATGCATTTAACGTCATTTACAACTTATACAAATGTCATCTGTCAACTTTGATAGACCCTCTGTCAACTTTTATATCCTCCATTTTAATGTAGTCAAGACCTATTTAGACGTGTTTCAAATGTTCTAAAACAAATTTTCAAAACAGTGTCACAATGACGTCATAACTTCTCGAAACTATTTCGAACTGACAAATCGATGATACAACCTCAACCCTAACCTCACTTTTCATTTTTATAATTTAAAAATATTGTTATTTGTTTTGCATTTTCCTTAACTACCTGATAATAATAATAATAATAATAATTACATTAAGACTCAGTTTATTCATCTTCAAATAATCTATCTGCAAGATAAATTTACTGTTCTATTAATTCTATTGGCCAACCAATGGGATCACAGATTGCGTTTTTAACAATAACGGCAATTTATCCAAAAGTGACTAGCCATAATTAGTAGTATAACCCTTAACTCATTTCTCAAATGTCACAGTAAAAAGAACGCATGCGTCAATTTTTGATGTGACGTCATGGGTTCATTGTGAGAATATATCGTTTCAAACTAGTTTTGAACCAGTTTCAAGAAAGTGAACGCGAAAAAACAGCTTTGATTTTCAAAGGAACAATGATTTTAGAATATATTTGTCTCTGTCTAATGCATTTGAAATTTGAAACAAAGATAATAGGAATTAATTTTTAATGCATACAGAAAAGCCGTTTGGGTAGTCAGTTGCGATTTTTTAAGACAGAAAATCTCCATTTGTGGAAATCTTTCATTAGATATATTGGATCTCTAGGAATATCCTTTGATTTCTATGGAAATTATAGAATGATGTGCGCACGTCATTGTGCTTTTTTGATTCGAAATTCTTGAATCTCCACCTATTTCTACCGAATTTCCACGTATCCCTATTAAATCTCCATATATTACCACCCTGTATCTCCACGGATATCCAAAGATTTTCACAGATCTTCACGGATCTCCATCTTGTAGGGCCAAAAAAACGGTTTTAGAACATATTCATCTCTGTCCAATACATTTGAAACGATAGAGAGAAATGAAAACATGAATCTCTCATATCCGAATAAAAATGTATAATTATATTCATCTTTTTTTATAGCACTTAAAACAATAAAGAGGACAGATGACATTAACATTTTAGCTTCAAAGTTTTTCATTTACAAAGACAATTTCTCTGTTCTCTGTCTAATATATTTAAAACAACAGAGAGAAATGAAAACACGAAACTTGGTCAATGATTTTTAGATTATATTTATCTCTATCTAATGCATTTGAAACAATAAAGAGAATAGATATTAGTTTCAATGCATGCAGGGCCTACTTGAATTTTACAAAAAAAAAAAATGATTTCAAAATTTTTTGAAATTATTACCAAAGGCTTTCAATGTAGGTGTCCACTGACGCCATATTTGACATTTTCTCATTTTTTGTTTATTTCCACACATTGCACATTCACCAAACAAGTAGGCTTTGAAAATCAAGGATAGTAAAGCCAAAAAGGTTGTTTGGATTATTTATAATCGAAATTGTTCCAAATGACGTCATCGTAATGTATAGAAGGTGCGGAAATGTGCAAATTTAGGGAATCCAAGGCCTACTTTGATGGTCGCGTAACATAAAATTTATAGGGGTTTTTGAGTGATTGGTAATTTTGACAGATAAAAAATGCATTCTATAAGGCCCGGTATTTTTAAATATAAATTTACGTATCTATAATCTTATTGGTCCTCAGATAAATGGCTGACCAATGGAATTGCAGATATGTATTTTTTTATGGGCCAGAAAAAGGATACAAAATGTATAAGTTAACTCCGCCCTCACTCTACTCCATTTTGACAGGACAATTGAATGAAAACCGTTGATTAATATAATTGATTTTTTTGCGGCGTTGCTAATTTTCATTGGAAAATATAATCGCGTTTACTGTGGTAGAAAAAGATACAAAATAACACAATGCATTCAAATTTTTAAAAGGGACAAACGCTTTAGAATATACTTATCTTCGTCTAATGCACCTGGAACAATAAAGAGAACTGACGCCAAATCTGACACTGGAAATTGACAGATATGAGATATCAAAAGCCTACTATGACTGTCACTTTCAAGTGATCGACCAGTCAGTAACTTTGACAAATAAACAATGCATTAAGGCTCGGTTTATTCATCTTTAAATAAACTATCTCCAAGATAAATTAACCGATTTATAAGTGGCCGACCAATTACAATTGGTTGACAAAAATGTCAACTGTCAACTTTGATATACCAATTAATAAACACTTGAAAACCTCTAAAGAGAATAGATATTAATTTTTACACGTACAGGGCCTACTTACATATTCATCTCTGTCTAATACATTTAAAACGATAAAGAAAAATGAAAACATGAGTCTTTTGCACTTTCAAAAAGATATAATATTGCACGCATCTTTTCTTATTGCACTTGAAATAATAAAGAGAAAAGATACAATTGAAAAAGTCGCATTGATAATGGAAGTGTGCCAAAAACGTGCCAGACTATACAAACCTGTTAAATCGTCTGGGATATTGCACTTTTTTTTTTTAATTGGCTAATGGCTATTTTTAAAATAAAGATTTAGATCATTTAATCTCCATATGCATCTCTGTTCATCTAAAAGTGCTAAACAAGGACAAAACCTGATTTAATAGCAACAAAATTCAGATTCGCATCTGTTTTAGGTTTGCTTTGACCGAGGAAAATTGGCAAATTTCCACGGACGCGCTTTGATAACTAGAGAAAAATCGTTTTCGGTCCAAGGAAACTTTCTGTTATTCCAGGCGACTGGAAATAGAATTATTTGCGTGTGGGTGGGCGCGCAAATTTATCAAAAAATTTCCTGGGTTTAGGATTCGCCACCATTTCGTGTCATTTTGAAAACCGCCCTGTCACTAATTATTATTTATTTTAAAAAAAATCTCGCAATTCTATATTTTTGTCAAAATTTCAAGTGCCCGTAATACAAAGTTGGTCGAAGAACTCAAATTATGTCGGTAATATTTCATTTGCTATTACGTTTAATTGACCGTTAAGACAATACATAGGGAGTGACTTATTATATGTGGTTTAATTAACCCAATTCTTCTATCTGCAAGATAAATATACTGTTCTATAACTCTACTAATCGGCAGATTATCCATTTCTTTCTTGTTTATGGATGTTAAACAAAGACAAATTGACGAATTGATCTTAGCCCTTATTTCATAGATGTAATAATATAATCGAACCAAAATGGCCAACTCGTACATAAAGGCGGTAATAAAAAACACGTTGGGTGGTAGTTCGCCCACCCCGGCCCAATCGTACTGCGCAAGTTCGAGAAACAGTTCGGTGGGCGATTTCGACGAATTCGAACAACGTAAGAATCTGATTAATTGGCCTAAACTTAAATGTCAATTTTCTGAATTGCAGATACTTTGGGCGTAAGATCGCCTACCGGCCGAACTGTCAAAGAAGTCGAACAGCAACTGTCCAACTTCAAAAAGGAAAACTTCGATCTCAAACTGAGAATTTATTTCCTCGAAGAAAAAATGGGCGTCAACTATGCCCTCGACAAAGACAACGTTTTTAGGAAAAACACCGAACTTCAAGTAGGATTGTAATTTGTCACTTGTCACTTGTTACACAAATTTAACATTACAGGTTCAAGTAGCCAACCTGCAAAGGGAGCTCAAAGAAAAATACGACCTCTTGTGTCAAGCGGTCAAAGCTTTAGAAATGGAAGAGGACGAGCATCGCAAATATTCGGCTAATAAAGAAGAAGAAATGGCGCAAGTGCACGAAGAAATGGATGAACTTAAGATGCAGTTGCAAGTGAGTTTTTGGGAATTTGTTAAAATTTGAAGATTATTTTGAATTTTCAGGACATGCGTCTTATGTATACGGAATCGACAAAGTCGGGCTGTTCCAGTAGTAGACAGTCGGAAAATGTACAGTTTTTCGCGTCGAATCAAAGATGTTTGGACGATGAACTGAATACGGTAATTATTGTATTGGAATTTGTTTATTTATACATTCTTTTGTCTGGTTCTTATCAGATTTTGGACAAAAAAAAATATATATACAACAATAAAATGGTTCAAAGTATCGCTTATTTCGAGTCACAGTGCGTCAAATTTCGTGTTTGTTTTCATTTTAAGGTTTTAGTGCGTCATTTTTAACAATTTTCCATTGGATTTGAAAGGGAAGTTTATAGTTTTGAACTGTTTTTTTTTTAACTGACAACTAGCTTTTGTCTTTGTCTTTCCACATATATTAACACATTGAAGGACAGAGACGCAGATTAGTTTCATTTCCTGAAGTTGTGATATGACACAACACTGATATGCCTCTTCAGATTAATGGTTGAAAATGACACGACACCGTTTGGCGTTTGTATTTATCATACAATTTAATGTAAATCCAATTGCCACTATCACAATACGTTCGAATATCAGTAGCGTAGTGTCACACATTTGAAATTTATTTACATTTCCAATCTCTCCCCCACTGTGATAGAAACAGAATGCTGTCCAGCATAAATTGGTATCTTGCAGAAATGTTCATTGTCCTTCAACGTGTTAAACAAAGACAAACATAATACCTATATAATTCGTTTTATTTTTAAATTATCTAAGGTGGCTTCGTACTATCCTTGGCTTTTTACATTTATCAATAATAGTCAATTGAATATTAGAAATTATATTCATCTTTTTTTAATACATTTAAAACGATAGAAAAGTCAAATTTTTTGCATCCAAAGCCTACATAATAATATGATGTAGGAAAAAAAAAAGCAAACGACTTTGAAATATGTCCATCCTTGTTTAAAGCATTTATGAGGATAGAGAGAAAAAACTGCTTTAAATGTGATGCATTGATATTATTGGGAATGTGTGTTTCAACCAAGTAGAAAGAAGGTTTGGAATGGACTTTACCTCATTCAATTGATTCCAAAATGAGATAGAGCTAGTAAGGACAAAAAGTCTATTGGATCTCTTATATCTCTCACTCTAACCCTGAGTGAGATAGCGCTTGTAAGGGATCTCTATTGTTCTCTCACTCAAATGTATATATTGAGTAGAAAGGCAAAAGACTATTCTTACTACTTTATTGGTTTTAACTGACTTCTAAGTCCCAAGACTCTTAATCAGCTTCTGTCCTTTTCTTTTCATATACATTAGATAAAGACAAATATATAGTACAACACGATTCGTTTAATTTTTGATGTATTCAAGTCAAGGTGGCTTTGTTAATTTATCAATAGTCAATTAGGTCAAATAGATTAAACTATTTTTAGAAAATCGGGCAATGGTTTAAATCTTCAAAAGGACTTGGAATATATTTATCTCTTTCTAATACATTTGAAACAATAAAGAAAATAGATATTAATTTTTAAGCGTACACTAGCGCGAAATCTGACACTCGAAATTGACAGATTTGTAGAATCCAAAGCCTACTTTGATGATCACGAAACGTGAAATCACTGTAGGTTTCCAACCCATTGCGATTTACTCTGACATACAAAATAACACCTGTCAAATTTTTTGATAGGTTTAAAAAAAATTTAAACATTTTTTTACATATCTATCACAACTTATTCGAGAAATTAGAAGAAAATTTTTTGACAGGTGTCAAATATTAAAATCGATTTTGACAAATTAAGACGTCAGTTTTCGAATGCACTTTATCTCGAATCTTTCTGACATTTCCTTGTCACTTTTTCCGAAGAAAACATAGACAAAATGACACCTGTCAAATTTTTTGACAGGTCCAAAAAATTTTAAACATTTTTTTACATAGATACCGCATAAATTATTCGAGAAATCAAAAGAAAAAAAATTGATAAGTGTCAAATGTCAAAATCGATTCTAACAGATTAGGACGTCAGCTATCGAACGCAGTTTATCTCGAATTTTTCTGACATCTCCTTGTTACTTTTTTCGGGAAAAACATAAACAAAATGACACCTGTCAATTTTTTTGATAGGTCCAAAACATTTTTTAAACATTTTTTTTTACATATCTATCACAACTTATTCGAGAAATTAGAAGAAATTTTTTTGACAGGTGTCAAATATTAAAATTGATTTTGACAGATTAAGACGTCAGTTTTCGAATGCACTTTATCTCGAATTTTTCTGACATTTCTTTATCACTTTTTTCGAAGAAATCATAGATAAAATGACACCTGTCAAATTTTTTGACAGAACCAAAAAAATTTAAATATTTTTTTACGTATCTATCGCATAAATTATTCGAGAAATTAAAAGAAAAAAATGTGTCAAATGTCAAAATCGATTTTGACATTATTAGGACGTCAGCCGTCGAACGCAGTTTATTTCGAATTTTTCTGACATTTCCTTGTTACTTTTTTCGGGGAAAACATAAACAAAATGACACCTGTCAAATTTTTTTAAAGATCCAAAAAATTTTAAACATTTTTCTACATATCTATCACATAACTTATTCGAGAAATTAGAAGAAAAATGTTTGACAGGTGTCAAATGTCAAAATCGATTTTGACAGATTAAGATGTCAGCTTTCGAATGCACTTTATCTCGAATTTTTCTGACATTTCCTTGTCACTTTTTTCGAAGAAAACAGACAAAATGACACCTGTCAAATTTTTTGACAGGTCCAAAAAAATTTAAACATTTTTTTTACAAATCTATTACATAACTTATTCGAGAAATTAGAAGAAAAAATTTTGACAGGTGTCAAATATCAAAATCGATTTTGGCAGATTAAGACGTCAGTTTTCGAATGCACTTTATCTCGATTTTTCCTGACATGTCCTTGTCACTTTTTTCGAAGAAAACATAGACAAAATCACACCTGTCAAATTTTTTGACAGGTCCAAAAATTTTTAAACATTTCTTATACATAGATACCGCATATATTATTCGAGAAATTAAAAGAAAAAAATTTGACAGGTGTCGATTTTGATAGATTAGGACGTCAGCTATCGAACGCAGTTTATTTCGAATTTTTCTGACATCTCCTTGTTAATTTTTTCGGGGAAAACATAAACAAAATGACACCTGTCAAATTTTCTGATAGGTCCAAAAAATTTTAAACATTTTTTTACGTATCTATCACATAACTTATTCGAGAAATTAAAAGAACATTTTTTTGACAGGTGTCAAATGTCAAAATCGATTTTGACAGATTAAGACGTCAGCTTTCGAATGCACTTTATCTCGAATTTTTCTGACATTTCCTTGTCACTTTTTTCGAAGAAAACAGACAAAATGACACCTGTCAAATTTTTTGACAGGTCCAAAAAAAATTAAATATTTTTTTATATAGATACCAGATAAATTATTCGAGAAATTGAAAGAAAAAAATTTGACAAGTGTCGAATGTCAAAATCGATTTTAAGAGATTAGGACGTCAGCTATCGAATGCAGTTTATTTCGAATTTTTCTGACACCTTGTTACTTTTTTCAAGGAAAACATAAACAAAATGACACCTGTCAAATTTTTTGATAGGACCAAAAAATTTTAAAATTTTTTTTACGTATCTATCACATAACTTATTCGAGAAATTAAAAGAAAAATTTTTCACAGGTGTCAAATGTCAAAATCGATTTTGACAGATTAAGACGTTAGCTTTCGAATGCATTTTATCTCGAATTTTTCTGACATTTACTTGTCACTTTTTTCGGGGGAAACATAGAAAAAATTACACCTGTCAAATTTTTTGATAGGTCCAAAAAAATTTAAATATTTTTTTACGTATCTATCACATAACTTATTCGAGAAATTAGAAGTTGTCAAATGTCGAAATCGATTTTGACAGATTAGGACGTCAGCTATCGAACGCAGTTTATTTCGAATTTTTCTGACATCTCTTTGTTTTTTTTTTTCGGGGAAAACATGAACAAAATGACAGCTGTCAAATTTTTTGACAGGTGAAAAAATAGAAAATAATTTTCTACATATAGGCCTAATATAGGCGTAATGATACATACGCCCCGAGGGCGTATAAAAAAATACGGCTATGTAAATTCATCAACTGTCAAATGTCATTGCATTTTTGTTTTATTTAGGAGAATCAACAACAACTGGCCAGCTTTATATACGACACCAGCGAAACGTTGCGGCAACAAATCGAAGATTTACAAAAAGACTGCGACAGCAAAGATCAGGCGATTGACAGTCTGACACGTCAACTGTCATCTGCCAACGAACGCCTGATCGATTTCGCGCAGCAAGTCAAAGACTACGAAGAAAAACTGTCCGAACAACATCAAAGAAACACCCAGTTGCTCACCACGATGCAATCTGTCAACCAGAAACTTACCGTAAGTTATTTTGATTTCAATCAATTGACATAAAACTGTCATTTTTTTAGATGACAAAATTGGAGTTTGAACGGGAACGCAACGAATTCATGAGCGAGAAAAAAGCCTTGGACCACACTAATGCAGTGCTGCAGATGCGCGTCAGCGCCCTCGACGACGAAAAACGTCAACACAAGCAGCTGATTAGAGAGTTGCAGCTGAAACTGGACGCCACTGCATTTGATGCGAAAAAGAAACACAGCATAGCGGTTTCGAGTGACTCCAATGGCCCATCGAATACCCTTCATACTGACGCTCCTTTGATTTCAGTTTCGCGCGCAGCAACAGCTACAGGAGCTGCGCAAGCAAACCTACATGATGCGCAAGTAGAACAGCTAACATTGCAAAGGTCGCCTTCAAAGTCGCAAGTAAGTAACAACTATACTGTCAATTGATTTTAAAATATTTTGACATATTGTTTTGACAGGTTCCATTAACACCAGACGCCAAACATCTGGTGACCTTTGAAAAACTCCTGTTGTCGGAACGGTGCCGGGACGCGGACATGTTGCGCACCGAATTTTCGATATTGAAAAGCGACTTTCACGATCAAACCAAGAAAATCATTAAACTGAAAAGTGAACAGTTAAAAGCGTGCGAAATAATCAAAAGCATGATCAAGTATCGTAACCAGGCTAATGATGAAATAGCGCAGCTGAAGAAGGCCAAGGAGGCGCTGGAGAGGGAAATGGAGAGTGTAGTTGGCAGGCCGCAGAGAGAGACGGCAAACAATGGGCCGGTACACGCGAGGGTTTCTGAGTTGAACATCACGGCAGTTGGGACGCCGCCCACAGCGCCATCTTGCGAGGTAGATGCTAGAGCCGCTTTTCACGGCAGATTTCATTTTGCTAGTTGAGCATGCGCTTTTAGATTTTTTTTTTGCTTTTGCATGTTTTAGATTTGACAATTTTGTTTTAAAGTTGACAGCTACTATTGTTTCGAATGAGTCAGAGAATATATCATCAAAGTAGACTTTGGAACAATGTCATATTTATTGGTTGCTCTTTATTTTTTCATATATGTTAGACAGAGATAATGCTAATGAAAAACATTCACATATTGTTATTTTTGAGTGATTGCTTTGAACTTTAAAACAATAATTTCATAAATCAAATTTTTTAAAATTACTGTAAAAAAAGACGGGGAACATTTTTTTAGTATTTTTTCTCTTTTTTTTTAATTTTCAGAATGATAGAAATTCATCCACTTTTCAAAGGTTTATCAATAGGTTCGATTGCGTGTGCGGTTTCAAATGTTAATTTATTTATTGTGATATTTACTATAATTGTTTTTTAATAATTCAAATAAACCTTTTTTTTTTATGCATAATATTTTATCTTCAATGTTACCAACCTAAAAAAAAAAATTAATTGGTATCACTGTATTAGCAAAATTTGGGTTCACTGTGTATTAAATTCTTTACATACATTTATATAGAACATGTGCTAGTTTATTTTTAGATTTACTCGAAATCAGTTCCTGAAATGCTAGCGAACAGAGCGGGTTTTTGATAAAAATATTTCCTGGGTGAATTTGTTTGAGGTTTAAGGTATTGTTGCTTGCTTTTGCTTTTAAGTATTATATAGTAGATTTCTTCTTTATCGATCCTCTGTTGTTGATATTTAAGTATTTTCTGCTTAAAAAATACTTAAACTTCAACTCTCTATACCGTTTTCCTTTTATTTGAGAAGCCTCCAAAGGACTCCATCCTATTTTTCCCCTTCCAAAACAATTCCCGGCCTCAATGTTAATCCCCTGTGTTGTCATGTTATCAGAAATCCAATATGGCGGACGACGAAAAGGTGCAACGACAAGATGGCGACGCCGAGGCCCTTGTCGAGCAGTACAAACAGTTCACTGTTGAGCTCGAAGCTAAAAACGAGGTAAGAATTTTTCACTTATTATTGACTACGCCAATGTGTTTTAGGCTACGCCCATTTAGGTTTCAAAATGGGCGGAGCCTTAAAAAGACATTGGTGAATGAGTTGAATAGAAATTAATTTTTATTGGTTGTTTTTCAATAAAGAAAGTAAAGCTGCGCCCTTGTTTCCTCTCGGGAATCAAAAGGGAATAATAGTCCTTAGTACATCGACCTTGAAATTTTGTATTTCATGTATTTGCCAAACTTGAGTGACTTCATAACACCAAGTAGGAGTACTAGGACAATTCTGTTCATATCTTCAACCCGTTGTCATTCTGACGTCCTCGAGAACAGTGATATATGTACATGTAGCTTTAATTTCAATGCATTACTGTCATGTTGCTATGACAAAAGTGACAGACTTGCAGACACAAGAGCACTTACAATATGGCGGAAGTAGGGAGACTTTTTTCTCGTCATTTCGCCTCTCTATTATTCTACCTCAATGCATTGAACCAAACAAATTGTTAGTGAGGAAAATTTTGATATATGCAACCTGCAATACGGAGGAATTTTTGTCTCGCTCTCACACTCATTGCAATTAATATAAAAGAAGAGCTTCTCCTTTTTCCTAACCTCAATGATTCAAACACTTCGACTTGTTTTAATCGATGTCGGTAATGCAGTCAACTGTAACCAAAGATTTATTAAACCCAGTAGGCCTTGGAAACAACCCAGCCATTTTGAATTAATTGTCAAAAATTACAAGGCCTAATTGAAACGTCATTTTTTTGAGATATGTTATGAGCAGTGTTGCCATATTTTTTTTTCAAATCGCGAGCCCGCAGGGCCGGGGTAATTTTAATCTCGAGCCCGTAGGGTTGACAATTGACAGCGTTATAATCCAAGTAATGTCACAAAATCAAGTAGGCCTTGTAATTTTTTTTGTACAGGAACTTTAAAGCTTTGCAGCTGTCAAACTATTGAAGTTACGTCGAAACTTTGAATTAGTGATTTGTAAAGGATTCAATTGAAATCTAATTACGCCAAAATCGGATTGAAATTGACAAAATTATGAGGCAAAATGTCATTCTAATTCACAAGCGCATTAGGTTTTAAAAATTCAGCAACCCTGGGGCACAAACGTCAAAATTTTGATGTTTCGAAGTAGGCCTTGTAATTATTTTTGATTCGTAAATAGATGGCGTTACCAATGTAATACTCGTTTTGTGGTTTTTGGTTGATGTTCCCGATCGGAAAAGCGGAAAATTCAAAGAAAATCCATTGAAAAATGACATTCCAAAACCTACTCGATGAAACTTAAGTTTTTGTTACTGACCCCATTGAAAAACTCGAAATGTTTGACACAAAATAAAGGAAACTGAAAGTCTCACACTTTAAATAGATTTTCCCGATTGAAAACGACCCGAAAAGTGGAAAATTCAAGGAAAAACTGAATAAAAACACTCAAAAATGGCCGACAGTCAAATATACCAAATGAGTGTAAGTGAATAAGACAAAGAAAGAAATAAAGTAGGATACTATTTACATCTAAAAGTGAAAGTTTTTGATAAAAAAATGAAACAAACTTAAAGCCCTGGCCTTTTTCCGCATAAAAAGCCGCTAAAAAAGCAGAAAATCCAAAGAAAACTCAATGAAAATGACATTCCAAAGCCTACTTGATAAAACTAAAGTTTTTCCCATTTACCTTGTTGAAAAACGGGAAATTTTTGTCACAAAATGAAGCCTGGTATTTTGAATTGGTTTCCCCGATCGAAAACAGCCCGGAAAAGTGGAAAAATTGGATAAAAATGTAAACACGTCAATTGAAAATGGCTGACTGTCAAAAATGGCAAATGATATTTATTACAAGGCTTCCTTGATTGAAGTTAGCCACAAGCGGTGTTGCCACATTAAAAGCATTTTAAATGAAATTTTACTAATTGTGGCATTTAAAACTGGACATTTTTGCTAGAAAATTAAGAAAACTCAAAGCCTCGTATGTTAAATCGCCTTTTTCCATTAAAAAAAAACCCGCAAAAGTGGAAAATTCGAGGTTAAAAAATCACAAGATGTCACT